GCAGCATGTCAGAGAGACGCTGTGTGTTTCTAGGCGAAAGCAAAAGCACTTTATTTGGCCTTCCAGAAGTAGATGCATTTAGGAATCGTTAAGATTACTTACAACAGAACAGCAATGCATTTTATGGACAACCATTTCGTGAACCTAGGAGAGGAGGTCATTCTGACTTTGCTATGACAATCTGGTGCTTCTGAATCAGCTACTGTAAGTATGTTTTGTTATTAGTTTAAGTATTTGCTATTGACTGTTCAAATGCGGAGTTTTGCGCATCGTGTGTGTGTGTGTGTGTGTGCGCGTGCGCGCGCACTCGCGCGTGTGTGTGTGTGTGAGAGAGAGAAAGAGAGAGACAGCATCACATCACAGTAGAGTCAGCTGTCTTAACCGTGGCTTATGTACTGCATCATTACTGTGTCTGTTCCCCTTTCGCGCTTGAACTGATGGTAAAACTAATGACATTATTTACTGTCTTTACATTTATTTTGAAAGATGAAGCTCACTATTATGGTAAAGGGCGTTACATTTGCGACGAGTGCTTGCGGTGTTCGGCCAATCACAATGCACTGGGTCAGCTGGCCAATCAGAGCAGACTGCGCTTGTAGAAAATGAAGCGTTTGAGAGAGGCGGGGCATAGAGGACCTACAATAATTTTATATACAAATATTTGAAAAATAATGTGTTTTTGGAACATTAAAGCATGTCAACATATTCTGTTACACCAAATACACAAAATAATGATCTTTAAAAAAGCATCATATGACCCCTTTAAGCTCAAAGCCTTGCGTCTTCAAAAGCCACCTGCAATATAATTTAACTAGGCATTACATACACTGCTATAGGATTGTGTCATGTGCATTTAAATGAAATTAGTGTCATTATTTTCCTGGCAAACGCGCCTCCTTTCAATGTAAATAGTGAGTGCTGGATTCACAGAGGCATCTCTGTGTGCCTGATAATTGCTGTGTGCTCTGTGTACATTTCCTATTGATCATGTCAGCAGTGATTCATTACATGACGGATGTATCCGGGCACATTTCCAGATGTGTAGTGAAGCGCACATTTACAGTCCTACTGACGCGGTCAGATGACAGTAGTTCTCCGCTCAGATCCGGCCTGTTCACTGGAGAATCACTCCATGTCAATCGTGATCAGTGCTGATTTTGTGGGCGTGTTTATGGGATTACCTGATTTGCATAATTGCTTTAGTGAATCAGGTCCTGAAACAATGCAGTGCTAAACAGCGCTATTCATTCTGACTGAATTCTCCCTTGTGTGTTTCACATGGGTTTTTGAAGCGCGTGTGTATGTGTCGTGTTCTCTGTTCTTATTGAATATTTTACATTAACTTTATCAAGCGTTTATTATTGCAATTTCACTTTAAGCAGCGCATATACTGTCTGCTCTTGTTGCGCAGTACAACCAAGATATTATTGCTCACTGTATGAGTCATTTTATATTAATAAACAAATGTAATTTAAATCAATTGCTAATTTTTTACTAATACATAATTAAAATCAGAAATTGTATTTGTTAATATTTAATGGACCTGATTTTAGCATAATTGATATCCTGTTATAGTTTTTGTTAACATTTTAGATTTGTTTATTTTTTATATTTTCTGTTTTCATTTTAATTTTTAGTTAAAGTTTTAGTCATTTTGTTGTTTGTGTTTTTGACATTTGTATTACTTTTTGTTTTTTTTAAATGTGTCTGTATAATTTTTATTAAGTTTTAGTTTTAGTTTATTTACTTTTAGTTATTTCTGTACTTCAGCTTGGAAACTAGCTAAATAAGTTTATTTTGTTATGTTTTATTTTAATTTAGTTAATTTCATGTAATGATTTTTAATTATTATTTTTAAATGTATTATTATTTGTTTATTTGTTTTGTTTGTTAATAATAATAATAACCCTGGTTTTAGCACCCTGGAGAAGTATTGAAATGCCCTGACATTTGTGTTTTTTTTTTTCTTTCAGTATCTTCAGTTCATAACATAATGCTTAAAACAGTCAAAGTATTATATATATAACATCTCTAGTAGTTGACATTTCTACAGTTGCACAGAGTATACATATAAATACAGACCTACTTTATTGAAATGATAGAGCAAATCAGTGTTTATTATAAAAACCAAATTGAAGTATTTCCTTCTCTTACAGACAGAATAAAGAGATGCGAACCAACCAAGCGAAGACCTCGATGGAGAGCAGCAAAGCCATCAGTCAAGACAAAAGCATAAAGAACAAGGCTGAGAGGGAACGGTAATAATAAAAGTTCAGCAGCATTTCACTTTAAAGCTCATGCAGCCAGCGTTACTTTGTAGTTTCCACTTTCCTCTGTGCTTTGCTTGTATTTTGAGGCATAACTATTGAAATTTAATGTCCAAACAGAACCATCTTGTGCAATTTCTTCCATATAATTTGTGTTTTTTTTAGGGCCAGGCACCATCTATCAGTGATCCATTAATCTGTTTTTCTCTGATTGTATGGGTGAACTCAGTGCACTGGAGTTTCCACCATTTACAATATTGTTAAAACAAATTTTTCATCTTACCAAACTGTGTCATTGCATCTGACCCTGAGAAATTAAAACCCATCTCCAAAATAATTGCATATTTTGATGTTAAACATATGCATTAAGGCCACAATAAAGAGTGCACTTTGGTTTAAAAAAAAAAAAACACTTACAAAAAAAAGTACTTCAGATTTAACAGAAGATTTAACTTTAATTGTTTATCATCTCTAGTCTGTACACAGACCATTTTTTCATTACTTGTACAATACATTACCTCATATTAACTATCATCAGACCAACCTTCACAAGCATAATTAGATTTTCATAACTTTTTGATTTACACTTTAATCCAAAGCGACTTATAATTGGGGAATACATCAAGTGATTCATCTTAAAGAGGACACAGGAAGTGCTCATAATACCAAGTTTCAGGCTAGATTTTAACACAATAAATTGTTGAGAACACCAAAGCAGAACTGTTGATGTGTTTTGGGAACACTTTGGTATATAGTAATGAAACCTAGGAATCATCATTGTCATCATCCACTTATGATGTGCATAAAATTTCAAGCCAGCACCACCTACTGGTCAAAACCTCACGAAAATGATTATTACCTTGGATTTAACTCATGATTCTTCTATGTATTAATGGGTGTTTTGTAGAAACTATTTTGAACCTCTTCATGTACCATTGTTTCATTACTTCTCCTATATATTTCCTCATATTATCCATCATAAGACAAACCTTCACAAACATATTTTTTTAACACTAATACAGTGTTGAGGGCACCAAAGCAGAACTAAGGGTGTGTTTTGGAAAGCTTTGGTATATTGTAATAAAACTTAGGAATTATCACTGTCATTATTCATTTATGATGTGCACAAAATTTCAAGCCAGAGGCACCTACTGGTCAAAACCTCACAAAAAGGATTATTCTTCTGTCTATTTATTAATGGGTGTTTGTAGAAACCCATTTTCTAGGTCAACCAGATGTTTTTCCACTATTTTTAACCTCTTCGTGGACCATTTTTTCATTACTTTTCCTATAAATCAGACAAACCTTCACAAACATAATTTGATTTTCAGAACTCTTTGATTTTAACGCAACAATAAATTGACGAGAACGCCAAAGAGGAACTGTTGATGTGTTTTGGGAACACTTTGGTATATTGTAATGAAACTTAGGAATCATCATTGTCATCATCCACTTATGATGTGCACAAAATTTCAAGCCAGCACCACCTACTGGTCAAAACCTCACAAAAAATACTATTACCTTGGATTTAACTCATGATTCTTCTATGTATTAATGGGTATTTGTAGAGGACTGATTTTCTAGGTTAACCAAATGCGTTTCCACTATTTTGAACCTCTTCATGGACCATCTTTTTTATTATTCCACCCATAAATTGCCTCCTATCATTCATCATCATCTGACAAACCCTCACAAACATAATTTGAATTTAACCCCACCAATAAATTGATAATGCCAAAGAGGAACTAAGGGTGTGTTTTGGGAACACTTTGGTATATTGCAATGAAACTTAGCAGATTTCATTGTCATCATCCCCTTATGATGTGCACACAATTTTAACTCCGTGTCACCTACTGGTCAAAAGTTATAAGCAATAATCTGACTCCACAGATACTGTTTCTAACGTGATGTGTTTCTGCAGGAGAGTTCGAGAGCTTAACAGCACGAACACAAGGAAGTTTCTTACTGAAAGAAAGAGGGTAATGATTCTAATCCTTTGTTTTGTTGTTGTTTTTTCAAATGCATGTTTCTAATTATGTAAATTAACATGAGCGTTGATTGACAGCTCGCCATGAAACAGTCCAAGGAGAGCGAGCAACTCCAGGCAGCTCAGCGGGAACAACTGGAGAGGCTGGAGAAACACAATGAGGAGGTATTTCACCACCCGTACCTTAATATGTGGGTCCTTTCTGCTTTGAACTCTCTAACCTCTACATGATGAATGTAATTAAGGATGTATTTCTACAAAAAGGTATAGAAGATGTTCAGAAATATGCTCTGGGCAGACATAAGATGTTCATAAAGAGCTGAAGTTAGTCTGTGCTCATTTAGCTAACATGAGGATGTCTACTTGAAGTGATTTTATATTTTAAAGGGGTCATATGATGCTTTTTTTAAAGATCATTATTTTGTGTATTTGGTGTAACAGAATATGTTGACATGCTTTAATGTTCAAAAAACACATTATTTTTCAAATACTGTACATTATTGTAGGTCCTCTATGCCCCGCCTCTCTCAAACGCTTCGTTTTCTACAAAGTCCCTCCTTCCGACAAGCGCAGTCTGCTCTGATTGGCCAGCTGACCCAGTGCATTGTGATTGGCCGAACACCGCAAGCACTCGTCGGGAAATGTAACGGCCCTTACCATAATCGCGAGCTTCATCTTTCAAAATAAATGTAAAGACAGAGCCCGAAAGGGGAACAGAGTCGCGTGACAGACACAGTGATGAAGCTGGTATGTGTTTGCAGTACACAAGCCACGGTTAAGATATGTGGGGGCGTGTTAGAACGAGCCGTTTTAGGGGGGCGTGGCAGAGTCTTAACTTTGATAAAGAATATCTCTTTGGTTTTGAGACTTTAGTCTTTGCAACTTCAGGGATCTTATCTATTCACAATCAGCTTGTAACACTCCAAAGAGAAAGAACAACTTGAAATCGCATCATATGACCCCTTTAATATACTCAAATTTTGATATGATCAAAAAGGATGAATGTTTTAGAGCGGTACAAACCAACATCACTGAATTCATCAAATCCACTGATAATGTTATTTCCTACCAAAATGATGTCACTTTCTGGAAGATGATGTCATTACGGAATTTTTTTAAAGAATAACATTGAAAAGCGATATTGAGGACACAGCAGGGTTATTAACTAAAACTTAAGATATTAAAAAGTCATTAAAGTAATGATGAAATGCTACGATTAGCATAAAATAGTAATAAAAAAGTATTTTAACTCCAAAATATTGTGTAAAATTGTCTTTTTGTAACCAGCCTAAATTATTACAGTTAACTAAAACCAAATGGTTACTTGAAAAATAAAATAAAGGTTAACTGAAATTAAACATAACAAACAGACTTTTTTCAGCTGCATTTCTCATTTTCATTAAGGTTACATTGAAGTACTAAAATAACTAAAACGAAATGAATTAAAACTAATACTACGTAAAAACAAAAACTGTATTTGAAAAATAAAAAAAATGACAAAAACACACAACAAAATTACTAAACCTTTAACTAAAATTAAAGTGATAACAGAAAATATAAAAATAAAATCTAATTCAAAATATTTACAGAGAGTATAATGTAATGGTATATCAATGGTACTAAAGTAACATTGGGACACAGGAAAACCATATAGATTGATTATAATTTAAAACAATATGACATTTTTGGAAGGAAAAAAATACAAAGACCAAGAATATTTCTGAATGAATTGCATTCTAATGACTAATACATTTCTGTTTAAAAAATATTGTTAAAGATATATGATTGTATGGCATGAAAATCTAGTGCCCAGCAGAAGCGACCCGTTTGATGATGCATGAACCTGTCATGTGGATTTGATCATCACTCACCATGGATTTTATTCTGCTCTTTTATTCAGCTGTTGAACTCGTGCTATGCAAAATCACAATGCCAAGGTAGGACTTTCTTCTCACAAATCAATTTTACAACGCCTCCCCTTTCCCATGATTCTTTCATTCCTCCCCGTATGGAAGTACAGTCCATCACGGCTGTGAATTACTGCTCCTCCTCCACACCTTCACAGACTACTGATCAGACAGACGCGGGCCGAGCAAGCCGAGTCCTTCCTCACGGGTTCTCTGTTTATTTTGCCCGTCAGGAAGCTTGCAATCATCTGGAGATGTCAATGCGTGTACATACTATAAACAACTGTGTAAAAAATGGATTGAATACGGATTTTGTGCTTCTTGTAGCACAAAAGTTAAACCTTTCTCCTCAGTTACTCACTGCCATGTCATTCCTAACCCATTTGACTTTCTTTCTTTCTTCTGTGTGAATTATTTAAGAGTGTTCACTCTGTTCTGTCAAACTCCAAAAAATTATCTAAAATATTTCTCTATTTGGGATTCACTGAAGAAAGTCCCAAAGGTTTGGCACAACAGGCAGCCCCAGCAGGACTTCTGTCATCTGAATGATTGATATTGTGGCAGTCATTTCCAGAATTTATTTTTATAAATAGGACATTTACCTTATTATGTATGACACCAAATGTACAATAGTTACATATGGGGAAAAATGGCAGAAAGCTTGTATTTGTGTCTTATCAAATTCTGACACAACTTTTAAACTAGACGTTTTTGTTGTTAAAATAAGAACAAATAAGCAAATAACAAACAACACGGCAAAGATAGAAATGAAATAAAGATCATCAATCAGAAATTGAATAATCAAATGTAAAGTAAAACACATTATGGATGCTTTTTCTGCCCAGGAATAAAAAATAAAGTGAATTTTTAATTTCACAATTCTGACTGTTTTTCTTGGAATTCTAAGAACATTCTGAGAATTGCAAGATACAGAAAATTGTGTGATGTAAACTCAGAATAAAACAAAATAGAATTGCGATGTATAAATACATAATTTAGACTTTCTCTCAATTCTGAGTTTGCTTTGTACAAAAAAATAAAGGTAATTACAGTGATTTATCTCATAATTCTGACTTTTCTTCTCAGAATTCTTCTCAGTTCTGTTTTGTTTGTTTTTTTAAGAAATTTTTTTTTTTTATTATTATTTTATTTTTATTATTATTGGCAGAAATGGGCTTCCACAACACTGCACAGTATAAACTGTATAAATTATATACACTGAGCTACTAAAGTTAAGTCAGGAGCAGTGAGTGATTTTCTCTTTTTATTGTCTGCTGTCACTTTAAGACCTAACTCACAGATTTAATACACTGATAAACGTCTGATTTTCTAACAGTTTACGTTTGTAAATCGTTCCTAATTGGTTGTGTTTACTGTATGTGACCAGTTGCCAAGATGGTGATATTTTGACATGCATGTCGAACTTTGTTGCACTGCACTTTTCCGCTTAAATGGCGAATTATGCAGGATTGCAAAAAAAAAACATTTTTTCTGGTGTTCCATATGGAAACCTGTTTCTGCCATGTAATTCAAAAATAAAGTAAATGTGACTTATTTTACAAACTTTGAGGGTTTTTTTCAGAATTGTGATATATACATTCAGAATTCTGACTTTCTCTGTTTTTTTTTTCTCTCAGAGTTCTGTGCTTATATCTTGCAGTTCTGTTTTTTCTTGTTTGCAGCATAGAATAAAAAAAAAGTTTTTTTTTCCGAATTATGAGTTTATATCTCAAAATTTTTCAGAATTGTGAAGAAAAAAGTCTGAATTATGAGATATAAACTCAGAATTGTAAGATAAAAAAACTTTTTTTTTATTTTTATTTTTTTTATCCTGTGACATAAACAAGCTTCCACAATCACTTACAGTAATAACGAAAAACTGCAGGGACCACACAAGAGTCTAAATGATGACAGAAACTAATATTTGCTATATATTTCACATCTGAGGTTATGGCAAATGTTCACAACTCAAGACTGATGTTGTGAATCCTAACTGTTTTTGTCCACTGGAGGATTGTTTCACTTGCTGTTGATTTAAATGCTGCGCATAAATTAGCTGATTTTCCAGCCACTTCATCTGCTACAATCATGAGGAAACGCTGTACGTCATATCGCATTTCCACTGACGGCTCTCACACAGAACAGCGGCTAAAACACACAACGTGACTGACTTCAAAATGTAGTTTGTGAGCCTGCAATATCCTCCCTGCAAGAAAGTTAGTTCTCATGTTAAGATGTATGTTATTCAATAAATCGGGTTTATGAAATCCAGGGCTTTTTTTTAACCTGGCTCTCTGGATAACATTACCTCTGG